GTAGTCACATAGGTGTTCTCTGTGGTGGTGCACCACTCCTTGCAAACTTCTCCTCTATTTGTACTCCTCATTCCATAGTCCAACCCCTCCTTTACTTGGACAACTCTTCTTTGCCTAGGTTAAACCCTAGACTTCTTGCCTACTATCTCAACATGGTATTAGAGCACATCGATCATGTACCTACTATGCTTCCGCTGCTGTCCTGTCTGTCGCGCGCCCCGTGGCGCGCGACGTTTTTTCTTCCCGCCACGCGCTCGGGGCGCGTGGCGGTTTTCTGCCCGCCACGCGCTCGGGGCGCGTGGCGGTTTCCTGCCCGCCGCGCGCGTCGCGGCGCTCCCAAGGACCCGCGTGCCGCTCCCCGTCGCCCGTCGCGGCGTCCCCAGGGACCCGCGCGCTCCCCCCGTCGTCCGTCGCGGCGCCCCCAAGGACCCGCGTGCGGCCCCCCGTCGCCCGTCACGGCGCCCCCGGGGACCAGTGCGCCGCCCCCCGTCGTTCGTCGCGGCGCCCCCGGGGACCAGCGCGCCGCCCCCCGTCGCCCGTCGCAGTGCCCCCGGGGACCCGCGCGCCGCCCCCCGTCACCTGTCGCAGCTCCCCCGGGGACCCGCGCCCCGCCCCTTGACCCCGTGCGCTGCGGGGCTGCTTCCCCCCCCCCCCCCTCCCCGCCCCTCTCCTTTCTCCTTCCTCTCCCTCCTGCGCGTGCAGCTATGGGGGTGGCGGGTATGGGGGTGGCGGGTGTGTGAGCCGTCCCCTGCTCCTCCTCCTCCTCCTCCGTCTCCCACTGCTACAGCTCACGCTGAGGGGGGTGGATGTGTGGGAGTCGAGGGAGTGGCGCTAGGGGGGTGCCGAGGGAGAGTGTGGGGGGAGCCGAGGGAGTGGCGTAGTGTTGTAGAAGGGGGTGTGGGACAGTTGGGGGAGGTTGAGCGGAGGTAGCCGTCGTGACGTCAGCAGCGCCAGTAGTCCGGGGCCCTTGCTCCGGTAGCCCAGCGAGCCTGCTGCGCCAGTCGCCCGTGGGACTGTTGCTCCTGCCGCTCGTATTAGCCGCGGAGCCAGTTACTCCTGTAGTCCGGGGCCCTTGCTCCGGTAGCCACCGTGCGCGCCGCTCCTGTTGCCCGTGTGTCTGCAGCTTCAGCCATCGCCTCCTATCTCCAATCCTCTCACAGTCTCTCCTCCTCCTCATCTGTCTTCTTCCTCTGCTGCGCCCTGCAGGATGTACCACTTCATGAGGTGTTCTGCACATGGCTAGTCCTGCATGCACTTGGGGGGTGTGTCATAATAATTTTTATATATTTTGTATAAGTGCATGTAGTTCTAGCTGTAGTGCAGTCACATAGATATTATCTGTGGTGGTGCACCACTCCTTGCAAACTTCTCCTGTATTTGTACTCCGCAGGGTACATTCATGTGTCGACATTTATGTCTCAATCCCCGTTTTCCCGAGTCGCGTCGAAACATTTTGTCATTATCGCGTCACAAAAAAATCAATGTATCGCGAAACTAGGCGACCATGCGAAATGCACAGTTGGGCGCATTTGATTGGGTGACAAAAATTATTGTACACCCATTTCTTCAATCGCTTGGCTGGGGTGTGGATCCCGCGCGAAATTGGCATTTCGGGCATTGACATTTCGAACCGCATGCGATTTAAAAAAAATGACGAGTTGGTTTACAATTCGTCAGCGACGTCAACGCGATTCACGCTGACCAATAAAAAATACAGTAATGGTCGCTAAAAGGCGACTCGCTTTTGAGACATTGTACGTTCTATGTCGTTTTTACGCGTCACAAACGCTTTGAGACACAAATGTCGACACAGGAATGTACCCTCATTCCATAGTCCAACCCCTCCTTTGCTTGGACAACCCTTCCTTGCCTAGGTTAAACCCTGGACTTCTAGTCCTAGCTATGCCTACTATCTCAACATCCCTCACTTGCTCACTTCGTGACTTTGCTTGTACTGTGATCTATGTACTTGTTCTCAGAATATAATGCTTGTCTAGTCTGTAGTGGGGTACTCAATAGTGAGTATAACCCTTTTAGGGCTTGCTATTTGTACCCCCCTCCTTTCTAATTCAAACCCCTCCTATTTCTCTTTCGTGTACCCTAAAACCTTAGTGACCTAGTCTTAAGCTATGCCTCCTATTTCAACATGGTATTAGAGCTCTTACACTTTTGGTCTGTGGGCCCCACGTGCTTCCGCTGCTTTCCTGTCTGTCGCGCGCCCCGTGGCGCGCGACGCCTTTTTTTTCTTCCCGCGGCACGCTCGGGGCACGCGGCGGTTTCCTGCCCCATCGACCCGCGCGTCGCCCCCTGTCGACGGTCGCGCAGCCCCGCTGCCTGTCACGACGCCCTGGGGAGCCGCGCGCGGCCCCCGCTGCCCGTCGCGACGCCCCGGGAGCCGCGCGCGGCCCCCACTGCCCGTCGCGACGCCCTGGGGAGCCGCGCGCGGCCCCCCCTCTGCCCGTCGCGACGCCCTGGGGAGCCGCGCATGTCCCCCCGTGCTGCTGCCCGCGTGCGCCGTCCCCCCGAGGTGCTGCCCGCGCGCCATCCCCCGCTCCTGCCTGTGATTAGGGTTTGGGGGTGGTGCGTGTGGGGATGACCCGTATGGGGCGTGACGGGTGTGTGCGCCGTCCCCTGCTCCTCCTCCTCCTCCGTCTCCCACTGCTGCAGCTGCCGCTGAGGGGGGTGGATGTGTTGGAGCCGTCAGAGTGGTAAGAGGGAGGTGGCGTGTGAGCAGTGCTAGAGGTGCAGCATGAGGTGTGTGGAAGGGGTGTGGGACAGCTGGGGGAAGTTGAGTGGAGGCAGTCGTCTTGTCGTCCGCAGCGCCTGAAGTCCAGAGAGCCACGACCCCCTGTGGCCTGAGTAGTCCGGGGCTCTGCGCCCGGTAGCCACAGTGTGAGCACTCCTGGTAGTCCAGAGAGCCACGACCCCCTGTGGCCTGAGTAGTCCGGGGCTCTGCGCCCGGTAGCCACAGTGTGAGCACTCGTGGGAGCACAGAGAGCCAGCTGCGCCTGTCGCCGTGTAGTCCGGGTTTAGCCTGGTAGTGACAGTTTTGCGCACTCCTGTTGCCCGTGTGTCTGCAGCTTCAGCCGTCGCCTCCCATCTTCTCGCCCCCACAGTTTCTCCTCCTCACTTGCCCTCTGTGATAGTCTCTAGCTTTGTTTATCACTGTGACCTATTGCTCTGCCTGCTTGTTGTGCTGATTATACCCCACTTTGACTATGGGGGTGTGTCAAAATATAATGCTTGTCTAGTCTGTAGTGGGGTACTCAATAGTGAGTATAACCCTTTTAGGGCTTGCTATTTGTACCCCTCTCCTTTCTAGTTCAAACCCCTCGTATTTCTCTTTCGTGTACCCTAAACCCTAGTTACCTAGTCTTAAGCTATGCCTCCTATTTCAACACTTGTACATGCATTCTTACACTTCCTAGGTTGTGATTAATGTATTGCTTGTTCCCATATATAACTCTGCATTTGAACTGGCCTTGTGGCCATTTGCTTGTGCTTAGAGTGTGTGGTGACTTCGTGATCCACCCTGAGCTTGCTTTGCTTTTCTTGATTGGTCTTGTGACCCCTTGTTCTCCCCCACTTTGTCTATGGGGGTGTGTCAAACTATAATTCTGCTTATGTTGTGTAAGCTGTAGTGGGGTAGCCTATATGGGGTACAACCCTATTAGGGTTGTACTTGTACAACCTTTCTGATCAATGCATTCATTCCTGCTCGTTAGTCTGTCTAAACTTATGTATGTAGGCTGCGGAACGAACTACGATGATACCATCTCAAAGTACTATAGCGGAATAAAGATGATTAACTATCCTACAACAAACAGAAACATATTATTTGACCGGGGATTACCTTATGAGAAAGGGCGACCCAAATTCTATCCAGGGAGGTCTAGTATAAACTTATATTTTAATATATTTCTTCAGCATCGGAAATTATTGCACTGTCCTCGTATATATGATTCAGTTCGCTAGCGTCGTTGTTGCAAACCAAGAGTCGGAGTATGGATCACGTGATTTACACTATTTGCAAAGCATGCATATTTGCAACTGTCGTACGGTACTCCACATTCACTTTAACGGATCTCGCAGTTCAGTTTGTTTCCCGCCTTGCTGGTGCGAACCATCAGGTGTCGCACCCAAGGGAGAGGCCAGCCAGCCAGACACCGCCACTGGCGCTGGAACGCCTGTCTCCCATCCCATACTCGCCCTATTGTTTGTTGCGGTGCGAGCGAATTCGCATGTCGGCGAGGCGACATCCCAAGGCCGTCAGATCTGCCTTTCGAACTTGGCGGCGGACAGATCAGACTTTGCCCACTTTTGGCTCATCAGAAGCGGTGGTGTACGATGCTGTGCACTCTGGAGCGGTAATTGCGATTCACCGCTCTGAATCGTTACGCACCAGTCTGAACCATGATGCATGAGATGAAAACGAACCAGGCCTGACCCTCCTGGGGTTCAGCGGAAGGCAGAGCGGAAGGGGGTTGGCATGCTCTTTTGGGTGAAACAAGGGGCGAGGAGGGGAGGAGGGCAGCGCCGCTTGTTGGGCCGTGGAACCGCTGCAACCAGCCTTCACCGCCCTCAAACTGGTATCTTTTCCCTCAGGCTCCGAGTCCTGACCTGACGCTTCACTCACCCAGCAGCAGCAATCCTTGCCTGTGATGCGACTGACCTCCCACCAGCACCACGACACCCTCGCGCTCCTCGTTCACCTCTCTTGCGCGAGCCACGAGTGCTGAAAACGCGTCGTAGTGCTGGAAACGAGTCGTAGTGCTGGAAACGCGCCGTAGTGCTGGAAACGAGTCGTAGTGCTGGAAACGCGCCGTAGTGCTGGAAACGAGTCGTAGTGCTGGAAACGCGTCGTAGTGCTGAAAACGCGCCGTAGCGCTGTGAGCCGCTGTCAGGAGTCAGCGCACCACTATATTCGCGTTCTACCCACTCCTGCGCGCCGCGGTGCTCACTAGCTTTCGCGACTCGTAACCGCTCCCTTAGTGGTGGCGATGACACCTAGTCCGCGTCGGCCACGTGGAGAGATTCACGCGAGTTCTGCAGCGCAGCAGGTGTGTGCGCCCGGTAGAAATCGGTGCGGGAGGCGCATGGATGGCGGCGGCGCGACACGCCCCACATGGAAGCAAACGGTGGCGACAACTCGACGGCGAGTCGTCGCTCGTCGCTGGAAGCGCGAAACGCTTCTCGCGACGCGGCTCAGCCACGCGCGACCCCGCCGCCTTCTCCACCCGCTACTCGCGCTCCCCGTTGTTTTCCTTCTCCTCCTCGCGTCGCCGCGCGCGCTCGTGCGATCCCGCGTTGTGCTATCCGGGGACGCCAACCTCCGCCTGCCCACGACCGCTGCTGCGAGTGGCGCGACGAGTGGCGCAGGCAGAGCGGACGCGTCAGCGTGGCCGTCCACCCGCGAGGGACCCCCCGCGGGGAAACCATTCAGTTCCGCCTCCACCGCAGGCTCGGATTCCGGTTCATCTTTGGAATCAGGCTCGGCGGTTTCCGGGCGGGTTGCCTCGCGCGCGCCATGGGCGGCGTCGATTGCGGAGTCTTTGACGCGGAGAGTGCGGGAAGACGGGGAAGGGGAGACGGGAGGGGGAGACGAAGACCAAGGGCGGACGCCGCGCGCGGGACGGAAGCGAGAAGCAGTTGCGCGGAGGGCGGCGCCCATCGTTCTGCCCCTGCAGCGGCAGGTGCGGCGAGCGCACTCGCGGGAGCGGAAGACAGGCGGGGGCGGGCGTGCGGAGACAGGGGAGGCGCCGCGAGCGGAGGGAGGCGGAGAGGCGGGAACGCGGAGGCGGCAGTTGCGGGGACTGCCGCTTGACCTGCGGGGATCCGTGCTGGAGCTGGGGTGAGTGGTGGAGCTGGGGTGAGTGGTGGAGCTGGGGTGAGTGGTGGAGCTGGGGTGAGTGGTGGAGCTGGGGTGAGTGGTGGAGCTGGGGTGAGTGGTGGAGCTGGGGTGAGTGGTGGAGCTGGGGTGAGTGCGTGAAGCGCAGGGGCGAGGGAAGCGCAGCGCAGGGGTGGTGGGGCTGCGGTGAGTGACTGGCGGGTGCAGAGGCCGTCGGCCTAGGATGAGCGCAGGAGCTAGGGCACTCATGGGCCACCTAGGGCACTCATGGGCCACCTAGGGCACTCATGGGCCACCTAGGGCACTCATGGGCCACCTAGGGCACTCATGGGCCACCTAGGGCATGGATGGGGGAATTACGGCATGGATGGGGGAGGTGAAGTTTCAAAGGTGGGGTTCAGGTGCTGCTGCTGTTGCTGCTACTCATGCGCCTCCGTCCCACTCACACACCCCAGCCTCCCCTTAACCCCAACCGTTTCCCGGACCATACCTTTCCTCGCTCCACCATTCCTTTCCTCGCCCCTCCAATGCTTTCCCCGCCCCACCCTCCCGCGTCCCCCCCCCTCCCCCCCCCAGGTACTACTACGTGACGCTGTATCTGGGGTGGCCGCCACAGCGGTTTGTGCTGATAGCGGACACGGGCAGCAGCATCACCTACGTGCCCTGCGCTGCCTGCACGCACTGCGGTAACCACCAGGTGCGATGCGGTAACCAACAGGTGCGATGTGGTAACCACCAGGTGCGATGCGGTAACCTCCGGTTGGAAGAGAGGAGATTGTGTGAGCAGTGGTTTGGAGAAAGAGAACAGAGCGGCAGCAGGGCAGTGGCAGGCGACCAGTGTAGGGGGTGCAGTGCAGCACCCATGCCATGGCTGTGCGTGACAACAACAAGTGCAGGGACTGGTGCCTGCTGCACGGCGCTGGGCGCTGGCGACGCGCAGCACGGCTTGGCGCTGCGAGCTGGTGCGAGCCCATCCACCCCACTCCCTTCCCAACCTGCCTCTCTGCTCCCACCCACCTAACCCCACTCTCACCCTTTCCTCTCTCGCCACTCTCTCTCCCAACCTTCCATTTCTCGCACTTCCCTCTCTCGCCCCCCCCCCTTTGCATCCCCCTTTGTGCACGTTAGGATCCGCGCTTCAACCCGTCCCTCTCAGCGTCGTACGCCACCATCCCCTGCGCGCACCACCGCTGCCTCACGCGTGCGTGCTCGCCCACGGGGCTGTGCACGTACCACGGCGTGTACGCCGAAGCCAGCTCCACGCGCGGCCTCCTCGCCTCCGACCTCCTCTCCTTCGCCCAGCCCCCCACCCCGCCTCCCCCTCCGCGCCACACCTCTCCACACCACACCCGTCTGCCTCGCAGCCCCACATTGCAGCTGAGGCGCAGCTCACAGCGCGTGCTGCTGCAGCTGTGCGTCTCAACGCCTCTCGGGCGCCGTCCTCCCTGCCATCGGCAGCAGCTGGGCGGCCGGGCGAGAGAGTGCTGCGGGGGGGTGCAGCGGAGGTGGGGGCGGGCAGTGGAGAGGGGAGTGCGGGGGAAGCAGGGGTAGGTGAGGGGACGGGGGGTGAAGGGGGAGGAGGCGAGGGAGAGGGCAGATCACAGGGTGCAGAGCAGGCTGCACCAGATGGGCCACGACTCGTTTTCGGGTGAGCTCACCCTGCCCTCTTGCTGCCCGCGTGCAGATGCCCAGATGCCCCGCCCTCTTGTCTTCATCTTTCTCAATGCGTGGGGGAGGGGGGGGTGTGCTCCCTCCCCCTCCTCCACTCTCCCCACAAGAGCTTTCGCACCCACCTCCCCACCACACGCCCGTTGTGCCCCACCAGTCGCCATGCTGCCAACCCCGTGTCCCCCACGTGTGAGGTGCTGACGACGGATCCCTGTGTGCCCCTGCTTCCCCTCACTCGCCCACCCTTGCACCCCCGTTCCCCCTCTCTGCTACCTGCAAGACTCTCACCCCGTTGTGCCCCCTCCCACGCCCTGCCACCCCTCTATCCCCTTTGTCCCGCACCCTCTCCCCCCCCCCTCAGGTGCGAGCTACAGGAGACGGGTGACCTGTACCTGCAGCGCGCGGACGGCATCGTGGGGCTGGGCAGGGACGCGCTCTCGCTGCCCAACCAGCTCGTGCGCGCCGGGGTCATGCACGAAGACGTCTTCTCCCTCTGCTTCGCCGCCCCCCCCCCCGCATGCAGCTCCCTCTGCTGCTGCTGGTGATGCTGATGATGCTGATGGTGTTGTTGAGCATGCGGCTGATGGGTCGAATGGGAGCAGTCATGGTGGCGGGCAGGGGAAGCAGGCAGGCATGGCGCATGGGCAGGGGGGAGGGACGGGCGAAGGGGGAGAGGAAGGGGGGAGTGTGGATGCGGAGGGGGAGGGCGGCGAGCTGATTCTGGGGCGCGCGGAGGAGCTGCCCGGCACCGTGTGGACGCCCCTGCTGCCCTCCGCCAGGTGCTGCCCTCCGCCAGGTGCTGCCCTCCGCCAGGTGCTGCCCTCCGCCAGGTGATGGTCATGCTGATGCTGCCCTCCGCCAGGTGATGGTCATGCTGATGCTGCCCTCCGCCAGGTGGGTGCTGGTGATGGTGCTGATGGTGCTGCTGCTGCATTCCTCTTCGCCATTCTTCCCTCTCGCCACGTGCTGCCGTGTTCCATTCCATGATCCATCCATCCGCCACATCGTCCGCCGTCACCCACTTCCCGCCGTCACCCACTCGCCAACCTTCCTTCCTTCGGCTCACATTATCCCCCCCCACCCCCCAGTGAGACGCCGTACTACATAGTGAGTGTGGAGGAGGTGCTGGTGGGGCGGCAGCGCGTGGCGGTGGCGGCAGCGGTGTGGGAGGAGGGGCCGTATGGCGGGGTGATGCTGGACAGCGGCACCACCTTCTCCTACCTGCCCTCCCACGCCTTCCTCGCCTTCGCTGCCCTCGTCAGCGCCCACCGCTGCCCAACTCCTCTCTGCCCCTCTCTACCTCCACCCACCTTCTACTCGCTCTCTCGCATTCTTCCCAAGTTTCGCTCTCACTACCATTGTCACTCTCACTCTCGCTCCCCCACAACGCCGTTAAGGAGGGCGTGTTCATGCTGCTGCATGCAGCCAGCCGCCCATCTCCCGCGCACCGCCTCATTCCCCTCGTCCCCCATGCAACCCCCTCTCCTCCCCTGCACGGCGCCACCATCAGGTGCGGGCGGCGGTGCCTCTGCCCCAGGTGCCGGGCCCCGATGCGCGCTACACCGACATCTGCTTCGCCAACGTCTCCCTGTGAGCCCCTCCCCACCTCCCACTCCTGCCTGCCTCCCTCTCTGCCTGCCTGCCTTCCCGCCCTCCTGCCTGCCCGCCTGCACACCCGTCCGCCCGCCTGCCAGCCTCCCTACCTGCCCGTCTTGCCTTAGGCTTGTTGCTTTCCGCGGCGCATGCCCTTCACATGCTAGATCATTGCAAACAAGCCCTGCAATGTGCCTGCTGAAATGCGTCTGCCTCTTGTTCAACCCAATCGATTCTCACCGCTGCACGTCCTCCCGAATCTCCCTCCCCCCCCATCAGTGCGGGTGGCATGAACCGGCTGTTCCCGTCGGCCACCATCGTGTTTGGCAACGGAGCAGCGCTGCGCCTGCTGCCACACAACTACCTCTTCAAGGTGCGTGCTTCTCCCTTCAACTCCACGCTCACCTGCGGGATCCCCTCTACCTCCCGTCCTCCCCTCTTCGCCCTCGCCTCATCATCTCTAACGCTCCCACAACTGACACCTCCTCTTCCCCGCCTGCCTGCCACGTGGCAGCACAAGAAGCACGAGGACGCGGTGTGTCTGGGCGTGTTTGACAACGGCAGTGGCGGTGCTCTCATTGGAGGTCAGTGGCTCATGGGAGGCGAGTGGGGCAGGTGCGAGGCTGATGGGAGGTGCGAGGCTGATGGGAGGTGCGAGGCTGATGGGAGGTGAGTGAAGCGGGTTGAGCCTGGGAGAGGTGAGTAGCACCGCCCTCTTGCTGCCAAAACGGCTGCTAACGGCATGCTGAAGGCTTCTCGGCAATCCCCGCGCGGGGGGCGTGAGTGGCAGTGGCATGGCGTCCGTATTCTTAGCCGTGCATGCGAGGCATGAGTGCACGGCTGTAGCCTCGGACGCACAGCAACCAGCTGCCAGCGCCGTCCAGCCATGGGCGTGCTGAGCGCTCAACGCTCAAGGGTGGTGGCGCTGTGGTGTTTCATTGGTGGCCCCTGCCAAGCTTGCTGCGGCCACAAAGGCACACCGTACATACCCACTCGTGCAAGTGCAACCATTCAGCTCCATTTGCTGTCCTTCCAACTCGCGTCCTTCCAATGCTCGCCACACCATTCACTCTCGCCACACCATTCACTCTCGCCACACCATTCACTCTCGCCACACCGTTCACTCTCGCCTAACCTCACTGCTCCCTCTCCCTCACACATGTGCTTGTGCGTGTGCGTGCCTTGGTCGCATGGCTGCTGCCTGTGCATTCTGCACGTGGCATGCATGCATGGCGCCAGGAGTGGCGGTGAGGGGCATGCGAGTGACGTACGACAGGGAGCACCAGCGCATCGGATTCGCCCCACACAACTGCCCGCTGCGCCCTACCCCTCATGCAGCGGCAGCCTTGTCACCGTCCGCGGCCCACAGCCCTCAAGCCATGCCCCAGTCTCCCCCTCACGCTCACACTCCCTCCTCTGCTGCTTCTGCTCCTCCCCGCCTGCCCTCTGCCGACGCTAGTGTCATGCCAAATGTGGATCTTGGGTATGACAGCCGAAGCGACGATGGCCGGGTGGGCAACAGTACCGAATACGGTGGTGAGGAGGTGGGCGATGGGGAGAGGAGCAGCAGTGGAGGGGAGGATGCAGCGGAGGGAAGGGGGAGGGACGAGCGATGGGAGGGTGATGCAGGGCAGGGGAGAAGCGAGGCCGAGAAGGGGGGGGAGATGGGGGAAGGGCAGGGGAGGGCGGAGATGAAGCAGGGCGATGAGTCACATGGGGCGGGCGTGGAAGGGGAGTGGGCGGACGAGGAGCAGCAGCAGTGGTGGGATGCCGTGAGCCGCTGTGTGCTGCTGGCAGGCGAGGCAGGTAGTGATGGGGAGGGCAAGGGGGAACTGGCGTCATGGAGTGTGCGCGAGGGGATGGAGGGCAGTGGGAAGGTGGAGGAGGGAGGGCAGCATGAGGAAAAGGACGAAGAGGAGAGTGAGGGAAGCGAAGGTGGAGGTGGTGATGGCAGCAGTGATGGGGGAACGGAGGCAGTCCTTGCTGCACCGCAGCAGCACCCGCTCCCACCTGCCGGGCAGTGGCCCTTGTGCACGCACACCCCCATGAGCATCGTGCAGCAGGCTTCCCGCAAGTACACCACCATCCGGTGGCGCTGCACGGGCCGGGGCGGGCAGCGCGTGCTGAGGCACGCCGAGGAGGCTCTGGGGGGCAGTGCAGAGGGCGCGAGGGGGGGGTTGGTGACAGCCACGGACGAGATTGAGGCAGACAGGGGAATGGTGCACGGGAGGGCGGAGGGGGTGGGGCGAGCAGGTGCAGATGGGGATGTGGGCGAGCAGGTTAGTGTGGCAGTGTCAGGTGCCGGGGTGGACGGTGGCGAGCAGAGGGGCGCAGCAGAGGAGAGCGGTGGGAGTGACGGGCAGCATAGCCACACCCACACGCACCTGCTGCTGCACCTCGTCTTCTCTGCCCGCCATCCACCCCTGCTGCCGCCTCCTGCACCCAGCACCACTGCCTCCTCCGCTTCCGCAGCACCGCTCTCACTCGCACCGTCTGCCTCCACCACCCCGCCGCTCCCCGCCGTGCTGCCGGCGCTGCTGCCAGCGGTGGCTGTCGCCCTGCTCGTGCGCCCCACCCGGGTGTCCCTGGCCGCCTTCTCCTCCTCCACACTGCTGCTGCCCTCCCCGGCCGGCACGCAGGGGGAGGATGGCCACGGTCATGGGGGCACGGGTGAAGGTGATGGCAGTGAGCAGAGGCAGAGGCACTTCACCACGGCGTCGCTCACCATCGAGTGCCCCTCGCCTCGCTCCCTCCACACAGCACCTGCACGCACCTGCTCCCACGAGGCACAGCGCCTGGCACGGCTGGTGCGGGCGGGGCGGTGCCAGGGCATGGGGGAGCGCGTGCAGAGGGCCGTGAGGGGCGAGGGGGCAGTGGGGATGGTGGGCGGTGGTGACTCGCCCGTGCTTCTTCAGTGCTCCCTGCACGCCCTGCCGCCCGCTGCTGCCTCCGCTCACTTGCCACCTCACCATGACACCGCACCTGCCCACTCTGACTCGCCTCTCGCCACTCCCTCACTCGCTAATGCCTCTGCTGCCGCCCAGCGCCAACAGGCCGCCAGCAGCAAGGGCAAGGACGAAGAGGGGCTGCCTCGCGAGCAATGGCAGGCAGAGCATGGGCACGAGGACAGCCGTGGGGGAGGGGCGGTAGTAGGGGTTAGAGGTGCAGGCGAGGGGCAGATGGGCAGGGTGGGGAAGGGAGAAGCGGATGGAGGGGAGGAGGGGAAGCATGGGGTGGTGAGAGAGGTGGTGAAGTCAGTGCTGGGGGGGGCGGCAATGCACAGCAGGCAGCAGCAGGGCGTGCAGGAGGGCTCTGATGTGCACGAGGGCTCTGATGTGACTGTCATGCGCTCCATCACCCCCACTCTCAGGTTGCAGCTCATTCCATGCCTCCCTGCTTCCCATCGCACACATGCATGCACGCACGCATGCACGCAATGCACTCAAATCCACTCTCTCACTCACAGCCGTGTTCCCTTGTTACTTGAATTCTGCAACAACCTGTCACGGTTCAATTCCCTCCGGATCCTTCTGCTTACACCACCATTCACCAAAGACGTCTCATTCCACGACCCGCCCTTACCTTCAAAGTGCTGCGCCCTTACTGAGCGAGTCCCCCTTTTCTCGCTCTCTTAACTTTCTCCGCTGGCCCTCTCCTCCCATGCCTGCACGGCGGCCCTGCAGGGAGGAGCACGGAGCCTCAGCCACGGCTGCCACTGGAGCAACTCTTTCAACACCACCGGCTGTGGCAGCAGCTGTGGTGCCGGCGGTGGCGCGCATGCAGGAGGAGCAGCGGCTGCAGTGGGCGGCGCTGGTGGTGGTGTATGCACTGGTGGCGCTGTGCCTTGCTCTCATCCTCCGCCTGCAGTTCCGCCGAGGGGCCTTTGGCATCGCCATCGCCACCGTCACTGCTGCTACTGCAGGGGGGTCTGCTGCACGGCCCCATCAGCTGTGCTCGCACACGCCCTCCTCGCTGCATGGGACCTGCTCGTACCCCGTGGCAAAGCGCGCTGTGGACCGCTCTCAGGTGTAGAGTGTGTAGAGTGTGGAGGGATCGCCATCCCTCCAGAAGTATCGCAACCCGCAAGGGGAGGGTTGTGACTAGGGCTGTGCATTTTGATGTTTTGAAATGCACATCGATGTATCCACATGTGCCAAGCTTTTTATTAGATTTGCTCGCCAGCATGTGCACTTACGGTATTTCTGCATGGCATGGCTGCATGTGGGCATGGTACATTCCATGCTCTCGTGCATGCCAGGCCTCCCACAAACAATGCGCAGAACCTAACAGAACCCACAGCCGTACAGCAACCAGCGAGGCAGGACACCCAGGTACCAATGATTTGCATTCCAGGAGGACAGTGCTATGTGAAAGTCCGTAGTGATTATCAATTCCTCGATGAACAGCTCACCTTCGCCACTCACAGGTCACCTGCTGTGCTGCGACTCTCACACCGGTACTCATCAGCACCTGACTTTGCTTCTTACCTACTGCCACTCGCCCACCAGCCGGGTGCTTCTTACGGTACTATAACTCGCCTGCTTCTCCCTATCCTTTTAGCAGCAGGAAGGAGTTCAGCAGCATTATGATATGGTAGCAAAGGGAAACAAAGTGCCTTTGGAGTGCAGTGACTTCTGCGGCTATGGCTGCTCTCCACTTTTCAGCATCAGTCAACCAGCGGCTGGTTACCCCGCATGGCGACGGCAAGGCTGAGGATGAGAAGTCTGGTGAGATTGGACTCGGCTGCGTTGGTTACTTCGACCACGTTGTCGTCGTCGCCGGGGATGTCGCCAGGTGTCGCAAGAGGAGTTGTGGTTGGGGTCTTCTTCCATGGGTGAGTTCATTTCTGAACTTGCGTGTCCGTGTTGTGCTTGTACTGCTTCGTTGTACTGTAACGGGTACGAAGGGTGTTGCTCCTGTTTAAGGCTCCCCTGGCTGCGCACCTGCCACATGGCAACCGACTCAGTGATGCTTAGTTGTTTATTAAACCATCTGAAAAGCGTAAGGACGTTTCCTGGAGAATTTGAAGGGGAAAATATTGATCGCTGCAGAAATATGAGGGACCAGCTCAAGAAAAGTGGCATATCATCATCATGTGCTGACATGTGTGTCACCATCATCCTTGCTGGACTGACCGTGGACTGGCGCCACTCCAAGTTGCTCCTCCACACCCAAGGCACACTTAGTGAAAACCTCACTCTTCGCTTCTCTCCTCGCCGAACTGCAAGAAACAAGAAGGTGACGATTGTACTTTGCACTAATGCAGAAGGACCACCCGAATGAAGAAATACTGCAAGAACACGTGACACAATTAAGGAGTGTTGGAAGCTGAACGGCAACAACAACAACCAGAACTACAAACAACAGGGAGGAGTGCCTTACAAACAAGCGACACGCAATCAATCCATGTCTCTGTTCGCCATCGCTAGCAGTTCTCAGGCCCCGGCGCGCATCTTGGCAAACGACAAAGAAAAGAACAAGGTGTTAACATGCATGGTGCGACATGGACCAGCTCGAATCAATCGCAAGTACTGCTTATTCCGCAGTCAGGAAGACATGTTCGTGAACCCACCTGAAGAAAGACCCGAAGGTTCGGTCAAGGACGAAGAAGCGAATGACCCGACCTACGACGAGCTGACGGTTAGACGCATCCCATACGGCTGGGAAGCACCTCCGTGGATCCAAGAGTCACCACCTGCACGCATCGCACATGAGGACAACGAATATATTTACGAAGACTATCACGACATGGATCATCACCTAACTCCAAAACCTCCAAACCTCGTCAAAGCCAAAAAGGACATCAACACATGGTACTTGGACAGTTGTTGCGGTCAACACATGGTGTCATCATCAACAGCGAGGAGCTCTTCAATAGTCAGTCAATCTGGGCAAAGAGCCGTGGGGCAGCTTCAACTAAAGTCAAATGGCATAGGATACTGCATCCATATCAGTGACGTCCTCATTGTGCCAGAACTTCAGTTAAACCTCCTATCAGCCACCCAGTTTATGAATTGCGGCGTCGGCCTGAAATCATACGAGGACGAATTTCACTTAATATACAATGGGAATATTCTAGGAAAGGCGAAGGATGAGAATGGGGTGTCCGTGCTCGATTTCGACTCACTTGGAAACACCGGCAACAAAGACCACATAGTCGTTCTTGATCCACTTGGAGATCCGTCGCCACCAACATGAAGTCACCCAGAGGAGACAGACTACCAGCGACCGGACCTCAATGGAACCTTCCGTGCTCTCATGGTATCTGTTGCTTCAACCACAAACCTTGCAGACACAGGACCGCAAGCAGTGGAGGAAGGAGAAGAGATCAGCCCGACCGAACAAAGAGGAACGAGAGAATGGACACAAATAAATTGGCCCACAGTCGAGCACCCTACTAGCTAGAATACGACCGAAAGATGGGACGCGGTGGACGTAGCCCGGGTTACGTATACACCGGATTCGAAAAAGCTATCAAGGCCGAAGAATGATGGGGAAATTTCGCCGTAGGATCTGCAGTAGAAGAACCAGAAGTTACTGAGGAAGCGCCAGGAGCACAAGAAGTAGAAGCTCTGATGGAATACAGACCTCACCTGATTCCAATCACAACTGATGGAAGAAGTTACCTCCGACACGAGACAAGGGGAGTAGCAATTGGCAATACCGACTTTGGAAAAGGCGAAATCACACAACCAAAAGATCACCGTCCGAGAGTCATGCCAACACCTCCAGAAGGACCATGACAATCGACACCACCACCATCGGCGACTCTAGTAGAGCGTATCACGGAGCAAGGCTTGGAACGTTCAGCAGCAGTCCAAGTCCTCATGCTGGAAGAACCTGCGGAAGAGGTGGGAAAAGGTACAGCATATAAAATCTCGGCACGTCATAAGGAGCACTACGCATACACTCAGGGATACCGCGCCGACCCCAACATTTGGCACAAATGACTCGGACATCCGTCAATTGAAGTGCTCAACAACTGCATCAACGCTAAAGTGCTTTTGGAAGACACACTGTTGCTACCAAATGGAAAACTGCTCAAGCCACGACAAGATTTACCCAACTGCACCATCTGCCCGGTAGCTGCGCTGCGTCGCACACTCTTCGCCGAGAAGATTCCTGGAGCGGAACGATACAAATTGCTCGACAAGGTCTACAACGATATCATGGTACTTACAACAAAAGGAGTGAGAGGGGAGTAGTACACAATCACCTTCATTGACGCCGGCACGCGATTCGTCTGGGCCGCCAACGTCTCAAAACGCTACCTCGAAAAGAAAAGCATAGAACACACAAAGCGAAGGAAAGAGGCTGAAAGCGTGCCCTGGAATATTAGAGACAGGAATTCAAAACCTTTGTGCGGAGGAAGGGATCTGCGGATGATCTCCCTTCCCTACGCTCACAAACGACAGTGCTTGGCGGAACGGATGAACAGGAGCCTCCCGACAAAAATGTGATCCCTCATGAAGCACTCCATGCCGACCATGGCCATATGCATTGGAAAATGCTGTACGTTTGCACAACATGCTTTCTTCAAAGGCCCTGACCAACAAGAAATCACGTTTTAAGAAGTGGACAGGCCAAAATCCGGACACGCGCATGCTCCGAGTCTGCGGCTGCATGGTACAGTACCGTCCCCACACTGCCCGGACATGAAATTTTGAAAACCATGCACGCTGGGGAATTCACCTAGGCATCAAACCAGAATACCACGATTGGACCTCTCAGAATAACTAGGCAAGAATGATGAACTAGCAGAAGTTTGGGTACAAATATGGAACCCTAGTTGGGGTTGTACCCCATATTGGCTACCCCACTACAGCCTACAAGCATACTACAGTTTAACATACCCCCATAGGCAAAGTGGGGGAGAACAAAGGGTCACAAGACCAGTCCAGCAAAGCAAAGCAACGCCCAGGGTGGATCACAACGTCACCACACTCCGAGCACAAGTAAAGGCCACAAGGCCAGTTCACATGCAGTGCTAGATATAGTACAAGACAAGCAACACAGTGATCAAAACCTAGCAAGCAAGCAACAAGATATATATAAAGTACAGTACAAAGAATGTCAAGCAGTGAGCAAGTGAGGAAACGTGGACACAAGGCCTAAAGAAGTACAGTGCCGCTGATGATCACTAGGCGGGAGCGCCTTGGTGAAGATATCAGCAGTGTTGGCCTTCGAGTCCACGTACACAAGCCGAAGCTGACCGCGCTGCTGAAGCTCTCGAGCAAGAAAGTAGCGAAGAGCAATGTGCTTCGTCCTGTGCTCCAGTCTGTGCTCCTGACACAAGGCAAGAGCCGCCTTGTTGTCACCGTACAGAACTGGAGGAGAACTAGGCCGCTCTCCCAAGTCAGTCAGCAGGTAGGTGAGCCAGCGTAACTCCTGTGCAGCCATGGCTGTGGCGTAGATCTCAGCCTCACAACTAGAGCCGAGAACAGAGGAAGAGCGGGTGGACCGCCACGAGACAGAACCTGAGCCAAGGCTGAAGGTGTAACCCTGTGACGACCGCTGCGTAGCCAGGTCGTCCACCCAAGAGGCGTCCGAGTGACCAGTAAGGACAACTCTGTCGCGTCCTCCAAGCACCAGCCCCATGCCTGATGTACTGCACAGGTAACGCAGCACCCTCTTAGCAGCCTCCCAGTGCTCTCGCCTGTGTCTCCCAGGCGCAACGTAACGAGCAAGGATGCTAAGAGGGTACGCGAGGTCAGGTCGCGTGCAAGTCATCAGGTACATGAGGCAGCCTACAAGCTCTGGGTACGGGCCACTCGGCTCTACGGACTCGTCCGAAGGTGGAGCTGAGAGCGAGTGGCTGGTAGCCAGAGGTGTGGCCTGTGGTGAGGAGAACTGGAAGCCGAAGCGCTGAAGGACCTGCTGCACCATGTGTGACTGAGTCAGGGTGATGGTGCGGCGAGCTCTGTCCCGGGTGATCTGCAAGCCAAGGTAGCTACGCAGTTCACCCAGGTCAGTGCAGGTGTGTCTCTTCTGCAGCTCCGACTTCACACGAGCGAGTGCCTCAGTGTCAGCAG